CCGCACCCGGGCTGCTGCTCGGCGGCGGCGGCCCCGAGCCTCCTGTTGCTGGACTACGACGGGTCGGTGCTGCCCTTCCTCGGAGGCCTGGGCGGGGGCTACCAGAAGACCCTCGTGCTGCTCACCTGGATCCCGGCGCTCTTCATCGGCTTCAGCCAGTTCTCGGACTCCTTCCTCTTGGACCAGCCGAACTTCTGGTGCCGTGGGGCCGGCAAAGGGACCGAGCTGGCAGAGGTCACCGCCACGGGCCGGTGGGACGCCGGCGATGTGGCCAACTGGACCAGCCCCCCGACCACCCCCTTCACTGTCGCCTGGGGGGCCGCGGGCAACCTTAGTAACAGCAGCGGCGCGGACGGGGGCGACACGCCACCCCTGCCGTCCCCTCCGGACAAGGGGGACAACGCCTCCAACTGCGACTGTCACGCGTGGGACTACGGCATCCGCACAGGCCTCGTCCAGAACGTGGTCAGCAAGGTAAGGGCCACAACCGCCCCGGCCCCGCGTCCTTCTCCTGAGCCCTTGTCCCTCCTCAGTCGCCTCCACCCTTCCCTCTGCCCCCTCCGTGCAGAGCGAGGTCCCCGAAGTCCCCAAAGTGGTGCTAGCCTATGTGTACGTGCATCTCACATTGGCTTCATCTCCTTCCGTCCCCCAAAGGAGATGCATTTACTAGGGTGTGAAGCAAGGGCTTTTTGCCGCCCTCAGCGGTGACAGTGCCTCCCAACTATAGGGGGACCCCATAGACTTTCCTAGTTTGCACCCAAACTCCTGTCCCAGTGCACATATGGAAAGAGCGCCCCTCCTCCTAAAAAGATGAGAGCTTCCTTCCTCCACCCTTCCAGCTGTCACCCTCATTCAGGCAGGGATGGCCTGCCTGGAGGGGAAGGCCACTGACCTGGCACCAGCCAGCCCTGGAGGACTTGCCTCATTCCAGGTCTGCCGGCTGGAGCCAGGACCACAGCTCTGCTCTTCTGCCCCGCTGGTTGTCCCTGTGTCTCCCCCAAAGAAATATCTAACCACGAGAATAGTGTCCTGTTCCCAGATGTTCCTTCTGCCTGACTTCAGCCATCCCTTGCTTGGTTTGGAAACAGACTAAAGCCAACTAAAGAACTGAAGTTGTAGCCAGAGAAGCCAAGAGCTTTTGAAAATTCCCTCTCCCCCCTCCCCTTGCTCGGTCCTCTCCAAAGATTGGCATATTTGACTTGAGACTTTGCCACCCCAGTGTTCCCTCCAGTGTTTTCTCAGGACTTCAGTAAACATCTCAGAGTGAGTATAGGAAGGATGCTAAGAATTTGTTTGGTATTCCTGGACTGCCACTGCTCTTACATAGCAGCTGCTTTTGTCTGAGCCATTGAGACCTTGGTAAGCTTTAGCTGAACCTCCAACTTGCTGGTGTCCAGTGGATCCCCTCTCCTGGAGGTATTGCATTGTGTGAAACGGAGCAGGAGCGTTTTGTGAGAGGAGGTGTGTGGCCAGCATAAAAATGGAGAATGGGCAATGTTAGAAAATCAATGCCCAGGATATCTATAATTTTCTGTTTTCTGTTACATGTTTCTTAACATGTAAGAGATATTGCATGCCAGTTTGTCAAGCAGTTTGTGTTTTTTTTTGCCCCTTCTGTGTTTTAAATAACTAATTTGCGTTATGACTAATTTGCATTTCCAAGTAAATGTAGACCTTGTCCCCCTTTCTGGGCAGTTCTGGGCAGAGTTTTAAATGCTTTGCTTAAATGTGAGGCTGAAATTTGACAGACTATAGTAATCAGCGTTCATGTAATTTTCCCCCAAACGTGTTAGTAGACAGTTGTAGCTCATAGATGTGTGAGATGATACTCTTACATCATCGTAACCATTGTTTTAATCTTATATCAACCTGGCAAGAAATGATCTGTCCTGTGGGAACGATGTGGATTAGCTGTTAATGGGAAAGTTCCTTCTAAACTTGATCCACCTTGATCCTCCCCAGTCAGCCTGTCCTTTCCAGAGATGTCCCTGTGACTCTGTTCCCCATTGATGGAGGGCAATATTTGTTTTTGTTTACCAGCATGGGAAAATTAAGAACAATGACTACACTATTTTCATACTGTTTGTTGTATGTCTATAAAAGTAAAGATTTGGCAACATTTGCACATACTTTAAGCCCCTTTTTAAAGTAGAGGAGGAATAATATAAATCAAAGCAAATGTGTGTAGAGGGTGCTCTGTCCTGGGGTCAGAGGGGAGGCAAACTTGAAAGTTAGGAGGTGGGATAGAGTATCATTGCCTTAGTGGTGGGGACCCAGGAACAGCTATTCGTGCTCTGCCATGGATGGTGGGAAGAGAGAATGAAAATAATTCTTGAAAACAGGCCATGGAAGCATATTGGAGAGCTGGAGTTTTTCTAAGTTAGCACTCAAGAAGGTCAAAGATGGCACTACTATGTGCAGTATGTTTTTGGGGTGCTTGATACAGCTGACAGGGCAAGACTGGGAAATGAAGACCTCAGGACAAGAGTCAGAGACGTTTTCCTGTAAGATAAAGACTAGAAAGGACATATTGATTTTCATGCACAAATAAGATCTAAATAAAGGACTGTCCTTCCACTGTGTTCTATTCCATAACAAATGCTTCCAAGAGCTTTTTAAGCATTTGGCGCGTACTAAGGCAGACTTCTCCTCTGCTGGCTGTGTACATTGGATACTGTATCAAATGTACAAATATGGACTATATCCCGTGATGGGTGCGGAATTCTAGGGGTCAGGTGCCTGTCAGCTTTGTTCCTAAGCAGAAGCACAAGTGGAAGGTTTCGCCTTCCATCAGTGGATGAAAGTTCAGGGTCTGAGAAACTGCCTTTTGTACCCTCTTCCCACAGACCATGATCTTCCCGCTTACAAATAAGCTTTATGCAATGTCTTTGTCATTAGACTTCCTTCAGCATGTATGAGCCCCTACAGTATGTACCCTATTCTATCCCTAGGTGTTAGGTGGGGAGGGGGATACAGAAGGACCACTGGGAGCATATTATATTATGTTACATTATATTATATTATTAACATATTAACATTATTAACAAGTTACATTAACATGTTACAATATTAACATATATAGTCTATAATATAGGCTATAATGGCACCTACACATGTGAAACTGCCAAGCCAGTTAGAATCCCAGGTTATTATGGTTAAAAGGGCTCTTAGGGCTGACAAGCCTCTCTCCCCACCTGAAGAGCATCCCTGATGTGGATATCCCTTCTGGATGGGAAGCGAGTGCCCCGTTAGCTAGGCAACTCACTCAGTAGTTCTTCTTTCTTGCAGAGAGGCATGTTTTTTGGTGACTGTAACTCGGGTCATCTCATGCCCATTTGTGAGCTCACTCCTTTGAATGAGTCCTTTTCCTTCGTATAATACATGTTCAGCGAGTTGAGGATACCTGACTAGTTTCTTTCCTGGCAAGAAATCTCCAGCTACTTCAGTCACTCCACACATGATAACATTTGCGGTAGTGATTGCTCCACCCACATGGTGTATGTGTCTCTTGAGCGTGCCACCCAGAGCACAGCCGGCAGGCCCTGTGTGTTCTAATCGGAGGAGAGGACGGATGGGCCCTGTGCTTCCACTAACGAAGCCTACGGTTGATGCATGAAGGCTTTTATTAGACATGACATGCCTCTAACTGTCTCGAGGCCACAGTTACCAAACCTTTATGGGATTGTGTTAAGACAGGGCTTTCTCAGCCTGCGCTCGTGTGATGTGGCACACGATTTAGGTTTCGTCTTAATAGTTTGGGGTTTTTAGATCTCTCCTGTTAGGATCTTGTTTATTTCTATTTTTTGCTTTGGTCCTTGGTATTTGTTATCTGCTCCACAATTTGTAATGCCTTCAAAATAATAATACCACCTTTCTTTGGTGCAGCCCTATAAGGTTTTCAAAACATTTTCACGTACATTATTTCCTTTGATTAAGAATGTTGAGTAATGCAAGGCCAATTGTAGCACTGAGCATTATCTTGATTTTAAATCAGTTAGCACAAGCTTGAGTGGGCCAGGTGTTCTGTTCAGGAGCCTGGTGTTCAACTTCCTGATGACATTCATAGCTCTGCATTTTATCTCCGAGCCATGTTGAAAGATGTTGTCAGTGCTTTTCCGAAAAGAAGAATCTAATAAAGTCCTGCCGAGTCGCTTAGAGGGCAGCCCTGGGGAGACTGAGGCCAGTCAGGCCAGGAGCCCTGCTCAACTGGCCTCCCTGTCCCACACCAGCGTTCCCTGTGCAGCCCAGATTCTCAGGTGCCTCTGAGATATTAGCCAACAAGGTTAATAAAAACACAACTCCACTGATTTTACCATATTTCTCTTAATAATTTGCATAGTTTATCCTGCATCGTTCTGAGGGAGTCCTTGCTGGTTTCTAAGGCTCACCACTTCCTTGAGTAATCCCTAGAATTTTGCCAAAAATCAATGTCAGCTAAACTTTCTAAGATCCGTTCTTTTTCTGAATATGATGTTTGGGATGTTTGTCTATTTCCAATCTATTGATATTTTTTCTATCCCCCATGAATTCTCAAAGATTGCTGGCTTTTATCCTGTAAGTACACCTGAGAGTTGTTTAAATATCCTAGGAAGTAATTTCTATTTTCTGGGGCTCAAGACTAGACGTTATTTAAGGTGACTCAGTACAATTTAATTAGGGTTAAAAATAATTACAATATCATTGCAATGGTAATATTTTTAAAATAACACACTATTAGGTCATCTTAGTCGTGGTTTTATTTATTTTGTCTAGTATATACAACACAACAGTGAACATCTTTATGCATATCTGTTTTTAGAAATTGACTATAATAAATGATGCATGCGTGTGCTACAGAAGGCAGCCAGTAAAAGGAACATTTCTTTCCATCTCTGCTTTCAGTTTCTCTCTTCAGAAGCAACATGGTTACCAGTTTCTTTTCTCCTCTATTGAGGATGGATCACATCAGTACATAGAGAGCCCCTCATTCTCTTCTATGTCTGCCTAGTATTCCCTTGTATGACCAGGCATAATTTAACTAGTCACCCACTAAGGGAGCATTTAGGTCGTTTCCAGTCTTTGCTATTACGTAATAAATAGTGAAATTCTCAGAAGTGGAGGGTCAAAGTAGGCTGCATTTTTATTTTGACAGATGTTGTCAAAGTGCTCTCTACAGAGATCTTACTGATTTGCATCAATAATGCATGAGGTCCTTTTCCGCATACCCTCCCTGCCCCAGGAGTTGTCAAACTTTTAAATGTCTCCTAGTTTGATATGTGAGAAATGATATTTGCTTTGTGTTGTAATTTGCGTTTCTCTTGTTATGAGGGAGGTTAAACATCTCTTTGAAAGTTTTTGAGCCATTTGTATTTCTTTTTCTTTGAACTATCTCTTCACGTCCTTTGCCTTGATGGGTGTGTTGGGGGATCCTTATTTTACTGATTTATAGAAGTACTTTATGCATAAAGTAATTAACCCTTTTAAATGTCTTGTAA